TAAACATATTGGTTCAGTCTAGCACAAAGTAATTCTGTGAATTCAGTAAGAGTTTCTTATTTAAGGACAGATTCACTGGTTTTTTTTAATAAATAAGTGAGCAAATAAAGGGCCTTAAATTAATGCTGTAGTAAATTATTAATTTACAAATACTATTTTGCTTTAACTTTCTCATAGCCTGATAAAGTCAAGTACATTTTGAACTGGTGGAATCTTCATTCAGTTACTGGTCTTGCAGAGATAATGTAGCCCATATAACTTTGATTAGAATGCAATTAACTTGAAACACGTTCTTTCTATTAGGATGCTATACTTTCTAGTGTAGGAAGTAGAACTTTGCCGCAATTATATTATCCATGCAAAGTGTGGTTTTCTCTCAATATTTGCTATCAGTAGTTAGTATTTCTTTAATTTCAGGCACTAGTCTATGACTCTTTTTCTTCACTTTTTTGGTCAAACTGTATTTGTTTTTAATTTATGCCACTACTGCATTACTGCACCAAATACATGAAATACCATTCAAAATTTACACACAAAAATAAGACTTCATTAATGCTTTCCATTCAGAAAATTGTTTTTTTTCAGCTTTTGCCAGTGAACTACTGCTCATTGGCATAACCCGGGCAGTATGGATGTATCTTTCCTCTCCTATAGTCTGATTCTTACATCGGGTATGGTCTGATTGAGCAATACAGAAGTCCAGCACTGATGAAAATTACTACATTCCCCTCACTTCTACCAAGCAGATATCCTTTGTGCTGGAGTGATTCACTTTTGCTCTTTCAGGCACACTGAAAGGGCAGAAAAGGGTACCAAGGGGCCTAAGCAAAAGACTGGATATGTTCTTTGATATTGACAGTGAAAGAATTTTGAAAGGCAAAACCTCATTAAGAAATGCAGTAAAGGCATGATTCAACTGTTTTCACAAGCCATACTTCCTTACATCAAAGGCAGCCTGGTCTTTTGAGGTTGGCTTGTCAAACTGAATTTAAAAATGGCTCTTCTGATTAGTTATCAAAGGTTTCTAATGATAGCACTGAGATCAATGCTTTTGATCCAGCCCATCATGATTTCTCCTAATGTCTCCTACTTTGAAACTTCTACTGCATTTTCTAGACATTTTATACATATATATATAAACGTTTAGGAATCTCTATCCATTTTAGTACAAAAAGAAGTGACCAAACCCTGAAAAGACAAATTTCCAGCTCAGAGGAGACTGAGTTTTGTCCAAATTCATACCTATGCACAGTGTCTGAATAAGCTGAAATATAGACCGTTGGGGAATAGAAATCTATAACATAGAAATCTATAACATCTCCACAGGCAAAACTTTCACTGTGGTCAGTGGAAGTAAAAGTGCTTAGTACCGGATGCTTTTTTATTTACTTGTTGATCTTCCCCTCTAAACAGGGATAATTATAACAGAAATCCCAACAGTTTTGATGGGATACACAAGGAGGTGCAATTCAGTTAACAGAATATTCCCAACTCAAAAGTGAATGAGGATATAACTATTATGTGATTGTGATTATGTTTATTTCTGAAGCTTTCTTTTTAATCGTGCAATGCTGAAATTAAAAGTCTTACAATACTGCAGGTACTCAAAAGCTATTATGAGATATGACATCTACAGGAAGTCCAAAATACCAGTAATCTGGACAAATAGAAAAAATTGAGCTAGTTTGATGTGTTTGGCGTTAGTTGAAGTAATATATAAGGTAAGCTGAAATTACTAAGATAATATTGTAAATTAACAATGTGAAGTTAACAAAACCAAATTTAAGGAACTTACATTTGCTAAATTCATACTCAGTGGATTATTTTTCATCTCTGAGTTCTGAAAGTACATGCACATAAAAATGAAAGACTATTTACATGTATTTTCAACAAAACATCCAGAGCAGAGGTGGTACCAGCTAACTGAAGTAGTAGAACTGAATACAGTTAAGAAGCATAAGAGTAGCCCTTGCAATTGCAGGATTGATATCTGATCCCAGTAGTTCCAGGTTTTCAGGATTTTTAGAGAAATACATTATACTTTTCTCTAAAGAAAATTTTACTCTAAACTGTTACCAAGAAAGACAAAGCTACAAAAATTGATTCATTCTAAGTCTTCAAATAAAATAGGGCTCTGAGCACTAAGAAGGAAGTAAGACTACTAAATATCTTTAGATATAAGTATTGCAAAAGTTTTAGTTAGCTGTACAGTATCCTGAATATTCAGCACTGGTTGCGGGCGTTTTGGGCCTTTGTGACTATGGATTAAGAAACTTGGCTGAAGAGTGGAAGCAATTCCTGACTGAAGTCTTCAGACTCAGCCACAATCAGAGCTTTAAAACAATTACTCAATTTCCAACTTTTATTTGTCTGAACTAGACTTTTGTGAAATAGAACTTTATTGTAGTGTTATGAACTATTCCTTGCTGAGATATAAACATAATCAAACCCTAAAATGATAGTTCCAAAATCTCATTTTGGAAATTAATTTTTTTGTTGTTCTGAATAGCACAGAGCGATTTAACAAAACTAGGTGGTCCCACTCACTGGCTGTATCTTTCGTCTGTTGCTTACGAACAGCATTTGCTGTCTCTTTACCAGCAACTCAGGAATGCATTTAGCTATATTTTACTAGCTGTCTTAAGTGAAACAGAAGAATGAAGAAGTGTGCTTCATTTTCAGTGTAGTGATATCAGGTTTTAGATTTATTTCAGTTGAAAGAGAATAGAATAGATGAGAACTTTTCATGCCAGAAGAAATAAACAAAGTGGTGGGTATTTAGACTAGGGAACACATGGTTATTCACACTGAACTCTGCAGAAGTGTTGGCACTTTACATTTTTTAAAATTGTGTGAAGTGTTTATGTGTCCAAATATTTACTTAGAAATCTATTTTGACACCTCAGGCTTGTTAACCATGGTCTTTCTTTTCAGGGATCAATTCGCTTATCTACATGCCATCTCCTACTGTCGTTTGAATTGCCTCAGGATAGCCTACTTGACCTCTAGCAATCATGCGTGTTTCTCCTGTGTAATTTTTGTCATACCTGCCAGCCTGCAGGGCAAGTCACCATACCCTACATGTCACAAATAATGTTTTATCACAGTCTATGGGAAGATGAACCAAATCCCATCTTTGAAAATAAAGATAGCATCTTTGCAGATACCTGCATGTAAACGCTTATATTTACATTTATATTAATGTAAATGTCTTTGGATTGCATGTTTAAATTTTCGTAGTGCTATTCTGCACTTCTTATTCTCTGCTGGAAGAAAAAAAGTGCAGTTGTGGCTGGTGAATCAAATTGTTCTTTAGGCTTGGCTGATTACCCTGAGCATAACAGTAATTTAAACACTGTAGACACCCATGGATTGGCACTTACATGTTGGTGTCTTAATCTTGAATTGGATCCCACCTGTAGACATCTGATAATCATATAGAAAGGTAAATGTCTTAGGGCTGGATCCACAGAAATATTTACAAAAAAAGTGTATTTGCTTTAAAATCTCTTACAGAGGAGTATGGATTCTCCCGGCTACTTTGTCAGAGCACAAGTATATCTGTCAGGCAGTACCAAAATGTTCTATGGCTTCAGTGACATATTTAGTGGTAGTATGCTATTTCCTTATTCATCAGCATCCATGCCAATGAAACATAATAGTAAATGCACATTTAAGTAGCTCTGAATTCATGGAGTACTTAGGACAGTAAAAGCTTCCAAATGAATAATTGCGTCACACAGACAGCTTTTGCATCCTAAATTGCTCAGTGGTTGAACTTTATAATAGCCCATGTTTATAATAGTTAATCTCCAGGCACTGTATAAAAGGCAACAGCCTGCAAAAGGATTCATACAAGAAATGAATGCCGCATGGTAATAGTGGAAAAGAACAATCAGAACTGTTTCCTCTTGGGAACCATTATAAAGGGAGGAAGGAAACAAGTTTCTTGCCTGCAGATAGTTACAAAAACAACATTTTTTTTTTTGTTAAACCACATTTTTGCATTTTGAATCTAAAATATTTTCAGAAGTTTTCCGTGACTTCCCTACAGAACTCAGTCCTCATAATATATTCTGATGAAGAAAATCAACATATCTGGGGGTATAATTTTCTTACTTGCTGAGTAGACATGTTAATGTTAGCGTGGGCAAGACTTTTCTTCAGTATAACCAAGATCACTGAGACCAAGGTAGTACTTTTTAAAGATCCATGTTTAAAGCATAATGCTTTTTTGCAATGTATTGCATGTTTGATCTTTACTATATTTTATGCGTAAAATTCATTCTGGACATGAGCCTCCCATTGACAGTTTTGTATGTGGAATAGGCTGACTACTAGATCAAAGACTGACTACAGTTTTCCATATTGTTTGTATTTTAGCATTCCGGTGTTATGCAGTCCTTTTTTTTTTCTTTCCAAGAAGGGAGAATTAGAAGCTTGTGAATCTATTCAGTATTAAAGAATTATACAAGATAACATTTTAAAATACAGGACAGCAGTTGTCAGTCATTCTCACTACTTTGCTGCATGACAAAAGCACAGAGAAACTATAATAAATGGATTACATATTTCTTGTTTGTCTGGATTACCAATTATAAATTAGCACTTTCACTTCCACCTCACAGATGAAGAGCAGTGAGGCAGCAACCTTGCTTACATGACTTATAAATCTATAGAGACAACTCTGCATGACACTTACGGCACTCTTGGCAGTGTATGCTGTAATTGAAGAATGAAAATATACATTCTCAGAAAAAAAAAATCTTCCTTTTTATTCAAGTGGGAAAAGCACTAAGTAGTATGTGAATTTCGTAGTAATATAAAAATCATCTATGTTTTCTGACCATATGAAATTCATATAATTTTGAGAGATTGCATTTTTTTTTCTTTTTTCTGTTTGCTGATGTCAAATAAAACCCCCAGATGCTCCTTGTTCTTATTTCTATAGTTCTGAGCTCTTGTCTTATTAACATTTTTATTTGTGTCGAATTTCTTAGGTTATATTCAGTTGGAGGTCGGGATGGAAGTTCATGTTTGAGTTCAATGGAATATTATGATCCACACACAAATAAATGGAATATGTGTGCTCCTATGTGTAAGAGAAGAGGAGGTGTAGGAGTGGCTACATGTGATGGCTTTCTTTATGCAGTTGGAGGCCATGATGCTCCTGCTTCTAACCATTGCTCCCGACTGCTGGACTATGTAGAAAGGTATCAAATTATACATGCATTTTCTGAATACAAAATAATGGCCAGTAGCATCATTTTCTTAGCTAAATTATGGTAAAATTAAACAGATGGTTTTACCTCAAGAAATGCCAACTTATTATTTACTTGAAAGATTCCATAGAGAAGACAATTTCTTTGGAGGTTATTTTCTTTCCTTTTTTTTCCACAGTACTATTATATATTATCACAGACACAAAACTCCATTCTTTTCACATCTCATTTAAGAAATCTTTGGTTTTAAGGCATGATATTACACATTGCAGAGTCATAAACTAAATTTTGCAGAGAAAAAAATCAGCCGTGAAATAATTTTATAGCACCAAGATGTGTTTAGAAGTATTTTGTAACTCTAAAAACATAGCTGAGCAAAGAAGTATAGAACTACTTAAGTGATGGATATTTACAGTACATGACATTACTTCCTTTAGTAACACTGCCACTTCCTGACACATTGATATAATCCTTATACACTGTATTTACAGTACCTTGAATTTTGCAAGTGGATATTCTGCAAATTTAGGACAGGGCAGTAGGGCACAGTTGGAGTGATTATAGTGATTATAGCATACAATTTGAAGGTACTCTTCAAATGTTTCATGAAGCTTTGACTTTCTTCTGCTTCTGTATGCTTTAAAATAGAATAAGCAAAAACACACTCTCCAAACATGTACACATTGCAAAGGTTAAAGTAGATATGTGAGTAATTGGTTTATCTTAACACACAAGTAAAGATAGGTGCTGGGAAAGATTTATATATTTATTTATTTTGTGAAGGGGTTAAATATTAATTAAATATCAGTCATTTCTTCTGTTGAGTTTGGCTTGACATTTATATTACCCAACATGTAATCAAAAAATTAGTTAAAATTAACTCCTTATCTTAACCGTATGTTTTTAGTCAGTCTTAGACTCATTCTCTTCTCTACTATCTGTAAGCAAATATGACAGACTGCCAAATACTTTGCTTCTCATCTCCAGAAGATAGAAATTCATCAGAGAAAACCCATGATGCCTCTACTTACAGGGCCTATCCTTGTGGGTTTCTATTTATAAGGAGCAATAACCAGAATTTTTGATGAAGTAAATTTATATTAAGACTACTAGTGACAATAAGTATGAAATCTTTCCAACTACTGCTTATTGGTACTTCTAAGGGGGATTTTCTTTAATTTTTGAGTCTCTCAGAAGAAAACCCTTCTATTGTTGAAGACAAACCACATCCCATCACATTTGTCTTTCTTGGGGGGATTATAGCAATGAAATAAACCACATATCCTTAAACTATTTTATGTACTGGTATCTGAATGATATTATACAGTGTTTCTCGTCTAGATATTTCTGCACTGATAGCAAAAAATGCGGATAATGTACTTCATGGGCTGTTAGCTTCCAGACTAAATGTTGGAACTAACCAATCAGAACTTGTAAGGCTATTAGCTTGCATAGAGTGGATGTAAATTAACTGGTAGACTCCACTAAAACATGAAAAATCTCTCATGGCCCTCCCTGTGATTGATAAGTTTATAAAATGCCTGGGATGTTATTTAATGTGTCTAGTTTTACATTCAAAAATAACCCTTCACCTTAAAAAAATAAAGATATCCTAGTAACTTAGGAAATCAAAGGCTAGTAAGTGATAATGAGGTTTATTATAGTATGTTATTTTAAATCTCTCTCAAAGTTTTACTTTCTGTAAATATCTAGGTCATCAATCTTCAGGAATGAGTCTCTGCTTCAAGTCATTCTGTCATTCTGATACAGCTTGATAGGATGTGTTTTATTCAAATACTAGTCTTCTCCTGGAAGTCTGTAAAAACAGATATAATGTTTTAAAATTATTTTTTGAGATTATGTAAATCCAGTGAGAGCAGATCTATGTTTTTTTAAATGCTACTGCTAAGATCCTGTTCAATAGCAATTAGGACTCCCGGTCTGAATTCTTCTAAGGTTGATGCAGTTGTAAAGGATTTCCTATGGATTCAAGCATTCTAAAACAAAATAATAGTTATGTTCATCTGCTGGCAAACTACAATGTTGTATTCCTTTTTAAAGATAAAGTAACTAGTTCCTCTTTAAGAATTATAAAATTTTGGAGATATTTTGGCAGATTTTATAAAGTAAGTTTCTTTTCAAAAATTACTCCAAACTTGACAGCTATTAAAAACATAAACAAGTGGTCTATAGTTTTTCCCCTCCATCTCACCTTCATTTCAAAAATTGATTTCTTTCCACATTCAGGAACTTTTATTATAACCCTTCTCACCCTATGGCATACCTAGTTATTATAAAGTTGAAATGTACAGTTGTTTTTAGCAGAAGAAATGATATAAGAAATATCTCAGACATTGTCCAGGCAATTACAAAAACCAAGTTCTTGCACAGTTCTATTTTGTCGACAGAATTGAGTTATAAGAATTTTTTAGCCCTTTCTTACCTCTTTACTGGAAAAAAAAAAAAAAAAAAAGTCATCCAAACATGTCAACTTTATTTAGTTTCCCTGCTTTTGAAGCTCCTTACCTTGGCCCTTGTAATTCAAAAGTAGTGTAACAAAGAGTCTATTAAAATTTATTGCCTTTAGGCAGGTGAAGATACAATGCACGCTGGTGCATTTCACTGGTTGTAAAACTCAGCTAGAGGCATATGATGTTGCTGTTGAAAAAGTCACAGAGTCTTTGAAAAAATCTATTCAAAATTAATTTTTTTATTGGCTTGTTACATGTGCATTTCCCTTCCATGTATTCAAGCATTGTTTTAAAGTATTTTCCTTTCATGTTTTAAAAGATATTTATCACATATCTAGATATTTAACACAGAACTTCTTAAGGAGAGATAGCTAAATGAAAGAATGTGAATAAATAAGGTAAATAACATTAAAAAAAAAAAGTAAATTAACAACACGGTCAATTTAATGGTATTTTAGACATGAAAAGTTGAACACAATATTTTACCATTATATTTTCTGAGAAGTCTCAATAAAGCCAGGATTAGCAGCCAGTAGATGAGTAGAATTTTTTCCAAAAATGTATTTAGCTGTCACGAACAACATAACCAAGGTTAAAGACAATTCTGTTATTGTCCAGTTTGAAGGTCATCAACCAAAAGGCAGTTGCAAGCAAAGCAATGTATCATTGTTGCAATATCTATATTAAAAAGCTTAAAAATTTTCCATTATTCAAATATAGATTTCTAACAGTATTCCTACAAGTTGCTTACTGAAAATATGAATAACTGAAATAGCTACAGGTGCTTTTATAGTTAATCTTTTTAGTAAAAGTCTAGAGTTTTCCTTTTTGTAAAGCATATGTATATAGTACTTTCTGCAGGATTATCAACTTCTAGTTGAAAAAAAAAAACTTTTACAGTTTAGACTACAAGAAAATATGTTGAAAGAACTTGACTCCCCCCAGAAATTTAACTTATAGCTAGTACTGTCTCTTAAAGGTGTAGGAGAAAGTGGTTTGATGTCTAATTTTATATAATGATATAGTAGTTAGAGTACTTGTAAATAAATAAGATTTTTAACCATTATAGAGTTCCTCTATAATTATTCTAGAGAATTTATCATGCCTGAAGTTTGATCTACCTTACTAAAGTCATTTATTCTTTCAGCTGGTTATCAAGTGATTCTACTACATAGTAGAGATGCTTAAGGACAGATGAAATTAATTCTGTTGTACTGTGATACAATATCCTATTTTAGTAATATATGTTACCTAAAAATGAGGTAACTAGTTTAACCTGATACTCAGACATCCTTAGTAACAAATTGAGAGGCACTATCAAAAAGAGATTCATTCTTATTTTACAGATGTCTAAAACAGATACAATGGGATGACTTCTGAAATTAACTCATTTTTACATTGTTAATAAATATCTAAATCAATGGCTTAGGCCGAATGTTTAATTTGTATTGACTCTCATTATACAAAAGGAATTTTGCCCTCAGTTTTAAAAATTCTATGGTGATTAATGTCTTAAAAATGGTATCACTTTCTTCACTTGAGCAAATATCAGAGGAGAATCTAACTGTAATGCAATTAAACATATTCTCTGAATTCTTAGGGAGGTTTTTCTGGCTGTGAACATAGTATAGTTTAATTTTAGAAAGTAAAATATAATGTAATATATTTTTAGAAATAATACTTATAATATGTTACAAGAAATATCCTATTTAAAATATATACATAAATATTTACATATATCCATATATTGCTCTTGTATCTGTCTCAAATATCTTTTTATCACACCTTACCTTAGTTTAGCTGAGCAAAAGTTCCTAATCAACATTTAGAGGCTATCACAATAAATCTGTATGCTTTCTTTTTGCTGTTTGGAAGAATATTTTGCGTATGATGCTAAAGGATTTTTTTTTCCAGAAAAAAATGACTATATTTCAAGTGAAGATCAGCATGAATTGACACTTATCTTCTCCCTAGACATTCAGTTTCCTTTCCCTTTCCTCAGGTATGATCCAAAAACTGATACATGGACAATGGTGGCTCCACTGAGTATGCCTCGAGATGCTGTTGGTGTCTGTCTCCTTGGTGACAAATTATACGCAGTAGGTGGTTATGATGGTCAAACATACCTGAATACTATGGAAGCATATGACCCCCAAACTAATGAATGGACACAGGTAATGATAAAGTCTTTATTTTTTTCATCTGTAATATATTTTAATATTTGTACGTAAAAATATTACTTTTCTGAAAAAACAGTATAGTATCCGAGGTTGCCATAACTGTAAAAATAGTCCTTGTATTTTGTCAGGTATTATGTCAAGAGCTTCCTCTGAAGACAGAAAAGACAGAACTAGATCCTAAGAAACTGGAAAAAGACAGAATAAACAGTCATTAGAAATATTACCTTGTTACCTTTCAGACAATGTTCTTGTTCTGAGCAATTTCTATAGCAAATTAATTTTTTCCATCTTCATGCAGAAGAAATGTCATAAAAAATATCAAAATGGATGCGGAATTTTAATTGATAACCAGCATGTCCTGAAGATCCTTCACATGGAAATATGTTTATTTTATCTAGAAAGCCAAGTTTTCATTTCATTCTTCAATTCCATCTTCTGTTTGATGGATATTTTTAAATGTTGAACTGTATGTATGTTCTTAATGTTGAACCATGTAAGAATTAACAGGTATAGAAACAGTGGTATAATGCAGGAAGCTGGGGACTGGTGATTTGATTGTAGAAGGAATGTGTTGTATTATGTCACAGTAGTGCTTGGAAAGATTTAGATTCATAGCAAAGCCTTAAAAAAAACCCCATTATTTCAGCATTTTCTGTTATTAATTCTGTTTTAAGACTACCTGACAAAATTATTTTTTCCACCAATGTAGATGTTTACATCTGAATTAGTCACCTGAAGTTCCCTTTAAAGTTAATGACAAAAAGTACATACTTCAAAACCATGATCTAATCCTAAAATAAGCATTTAACATAGGCCAGATGTATTAGACTCAAAAATGCCTATTTATTTTTATGATTGTAAAGGGGGGCTTCTGTTGTTAAGCTTAAAAAGACATACATGGTGTAAAGTCAATGCAGAAGGTCATCTTTTTTATCTACTATTAATTAAATGACAAGAGACCATTTTTATGATGTTCTATAGGAAATAAGAAACCAATTTGGAAATATTCTTTTCCCAAATCCACCATTCAACATAAAAATACATAAATAACAACATTTGGACAGGTAATTAGGAAATATGTAACACCTCTGTTTTGATATGTACAGTACCATTAACTACAGTATATTATCATTACTATAATTGTTACATTTCATCTAAGCTAACTGTACTGTATTAGTTTCAGCAAGATCTAATCTCCTAAAGTTATTAGCACTTCTGTTGTCTTGAATAGTGCCTAAGGCTGTTAAATTTATTCCAAAGGACACTTGAACCTGTATAGGAATACTGGAATCATATGATTTTGGTATTAGCAGCCTTGATCTTGCCTCAGGGACTAAAAGGGAAGCATCAGGTACAGTCTACAGATTATAGAAACCCCTTGCATATCAACAGTTCACAAAATTGTTTACAGCTCTAAAAATCACTTCTTTTTTCTGTTCTCACACTTTCAAGTGAAAGACATCAGATGTAAGTTACGTTAAAACTACAATACTAGGATATTGTGGGTTGTATTTATTTTTAGCAGTTTATGCTCCCATTAGTTTTGACCATTTTAGAATAATGTTGACACAGCACTTTGGCAATCTCTTGCATGACTTGTTCCTGTTCACTTAATTTGTATCTTTTCTTCTGCAGATGGCTTCCCTAAACATTGGAAGAGCTGGTGCCTGTGTTGTAGTCATCAAACAACCATGACTTTGTCAGCACTGCTTAGGATTTTACTGACTGTGAAATGATTATTTTTCTATCAGACAACGAGAACGATGACTTCATGAGAACAAGGATTTACACAGTCAATACTCTGTTGACCACAAAGCTGAAGAAGTTTGGAAGTGAGAAAGATTAAATATTTATGCCCTATAAAACCATGAAAAACTGTTCACAGTCAGTGAACAATAAAAAAAAATCAGGCTGTTGTAGGCGCAAATATGTGTCCTGGACAACTGGATAATAAAGGGACAGCTCTACACAAGGAGCAGGAGGGAATAAGAGAACGGTTTTCATGGCCACAAGAGTTTTAACTGCAGAAACATCAAAGTACATTTAGTCACATTTAAAATGTGTTTTTTTAAAAGAGAAAAGTAGATAGTAATATAAAATTTTTCTGTTCAGGTCTTGTCTTCAAGTGGGTTATGGCCTCATTTAAACAGGCAGTTTGGTTCATACTGAGGGAAGAGGTAAAAAAGTACTGACATTCAAGTTTCATTGATATTGACTGAGCTGTTGCTCTACAGTAGGAAGAAAAACAAAACCAAAATCAAACCTCCAAGATGACTGGGGGTTTTTGTAACTTCAGATTGTACCTCCTTGCCAGCGTTAATGCATCTTGTAAGTGAGTCTATTGAAGGGGGAACCTGTGTGTTTAATCTAATTATACACAAAGCAATCATTTGGCTGCACTGGGGCTTTGTTGCAAATGTGATTCAAAACAACAGTTTCCTAATTCTTTCTTAATCTTATATTCAATTTAAGCATGTGGGCTCTGAGCTCAGTGTTTAATGGATCATCTGCATGTTGGAAGCTCATGAAATGCTGGAAAATTGATACTGCTCCTTCACTGCATCATGTAACAGATGGACTATGACCAGAACAGTCTATAGAGCCTCTTTTAACATTTCAAGAGGGAAAAAATATGCATATTATTTCTTTCTGATGCTTGTACATGCACAGCTTTGCCTGATTAGAGCTGCCAATTTATGACTTTCCACTTATGACTGAGAATAACTGTGAGTAGGGAATTCAAAATAAATGCAAGTGGAATAAGGAAAATTGGACCATTTGATCTAATAAATTTCATATGGTAAATATACTAGAGTCATCTGCGCTTCCCTTTAGGGTTGATAGTTTCTGGCAGTAATGATACTGTGAGCCTTTGCCTTGGCAGTAGATATAGCATTGATGCTTTCTATCTGCTCGGCTGAATCAGAATCCTAAGGTCACTAATGCAATATGAAATTCTGCTATTCAGGGAGGCACAGGCTCTAGGAACAGGACTACCAAGTATGCTGCTTCTTTAAAGCTTTGCTGATCCTTTAGGAAATATTTCATGGTCCAAAAGCAGAAATTGCACAGTTGTCTCTAACTAGCAGTTTTGAGAAGGAATTCTGGTTGTAGTTAAAAGAGTTTTTCTAGTAGAAACCTTTTAAACCATTTGAGATGAAAAAATACATACAGACTCCTACTTGGGATGTTTGATTTGAAGATGTGTCTTTCCTTCTAACAGCATCAACGTGCATGGAGATTTTGTTTCCTGACACAAACTGAACTTCAGTTCTGAAGCTTAAGTATACTGGTTAAAATATTTTTACATATTTCTCTGTCCTAATTAGAAATCAGTTGCAAAATCTTTAATATTAGCTTTCCACAGTCAGTTGGCTTTTGAAATTCAATTAGTCTTTCTTCCACAGTCAAGCATGTCCTTTTTTCTCCAACTATAAGCACTTCTTGAATAAAAGATATTACCCCTCTACAAATTTTGTGTCACATAAACGTAAGTGTCTGAGATCAAACCAAAAAGATTCTAGAATTATAAATGCAATTAAATATAGACATTAGCATTCAGTTCTCCTACACAGATACCTAATGACCTTAGAAATTTAATTTTAATTCTATTCCCAGAACTTCCTTTTGATTACATTACATTCATACACAATAGAAATATGATTACTCTGCCTACATACTGACCTTCAAAAAAGGATTACTTGTATTAGTTACAATCCATGACAGATTTGGGTTTTGTGCCTTGATCATTTTTATCCTCAGTTTATTCTCAGTTATATTTTTTATTCTTAATTTCCTTCTACACGTTTTCAATATGCCTTTATTTATCCAAACCAAAACATTATTTTCATGTGAAATTTTTCAGATCACACCACTTCTCTTATGCTGAAAAACTAAAATTATTAATTACTTTTATTTAGATTGTGTAAATTAGCCACAATAAGAGCCAACTTTCAGATTCTTTTTATACACCTATATCAATATGTTCTGGAGTTTCTTCTAAACAGAATTTAGAGAGAATTTTTTATTAAATTTTGGGTTTTTCTTACCATTGATTTTACTTTTCTCTTATTAAAAACAATAATACTTTTAACTTTGACTTCAGAGGGAATGGATTTAAATAAAAATGCTATAAAATCTTAATCTTGTTTTCATTGGTCCATTATGATCACTTTTTTATGTATAAGAGTTAAAATCTCTTCTGACAGGCTGAGTTGTGCTAAACAATATTCAGTTTACAGGAAAAACAGTTGTCTTTTCAAAAGCCAGAATATCTCTTCATTGTTAACCTAGCATGGTATCTTTCTCTCAGATAATCCCTTTGATTTCACAGTATGAAAATCACAGTGGAATCAGATCTGCAACAAAAAATAATTTCATTGAAATCAACAATTTAATTCCTAAAAATGCCCTCTGTAAATTTTGTAGTTTAATATTCTATGTTCTAAAATGTTAACATTTTATTTATCTTTCTAATTCTTTTTTATTCATTGTAGCACGATTTTTTCCCCAGAATGTCAACCAGTTTTACTAGAAAATCTTTGTTTCACATTAGCCTGTATTTATAGATGGGAGTTATATCTATTTTTTTCCTATTGTTGCCCATTCTTACATATGATCTTTTTTGTATTAATCAAACATAAGTAAAAGTAGTTAAAATTAAGGTCCTCTGATACTACTGAGAAGCCTTGCATTTCTCTCTTTCATGTAACAAAAAGTCCCTTTCTGTTGTTTTTATTATTTATTAGAGATTTTATTAATTTCCTTCTTTCTGCTACTGGTTTTGAGGTAGGAGCAAGGTCAAGGACATGAGTGCTAGAAAAGCTATTTTTAAATTGATGAGTCTATACAGATTTTTATAAGAAGATAGAGAAAACAATACTGGCAGAAAGTTTTTTGTGCCTGAGGCTTTGCATTCAAAACTTTGGATGTTTATAAAGAAATCAAGTCTGTTCTATTTCTTCAGTTTCCCTACCCAATTGTTTTCACATCCATTGGGATCAGTGACAGCCAATTGTGATGAGGAATTTTCTTTTCTCTTTTTCCTTTCACTGATTATTTCTCTAGTAAGGATAAAACATTTGCTGCTAAAAAGAAAGAAAAAAAGAAAAAGCACAAAAAAGAATAGTTATCTTTGAAGTGTTTATAGAAACAATACCTAAAATACAGAATAAGTGGGTTCCCCATAAGAGGGAATAAACTCACCAGAGTGATAGCTGTAGCAGTGCTGTTAATGTTTATTAATACAATTATTAAAGAAATCATAGAAGAAATTACATTTTTACAGGGTTCTGATTGGTTGTTACATAAAAAAAAATCAAGAAAAATGTTATAATGTTTGTCTCTGTTTTTCAAATGAATTAGTCTCCTGATTTAATTCCTCTCAGAATGCTAGATAGTTAAACTCCAAGAACATAATTTTCAAGACAACATTAGAGGCTTTCTAAATATTGAAGAATTCAAGTTGAACTCAATAGAAAAACTGATCAAGCAAAATAAGTAAAACTTTTCCTACGACTCTGAGGGTGTAATTTTTAATTTCTTGCCGATATAGTAGTGTTAAAAAATTCATTTTGCAAAAGGAAGACCAATCTTATGATCCTTCATTGTTTATAGAACTGTTGATCACCTTGCAGTTTTGGACCTTTCTTTTAAGTTATTCTTTACATTTACAGTTTTTATTATTGTCAGCAAGGGATGCTAGAAATAGAATCAGCATTAGCAAAGACCTACATAGAAAATGTAATTTAATGATCATTACTGACATTTTGTGGTCCAGTTTTATTGAAAATTTGTGTATTGAAATCAAAGCCACAAATAAGACAATAAAAAGATTTGAATATTTTTACTTTGGCTTTAATCATAATTGCTCAATGCACATTTGTATATATGTTCTTGCAATGAAAACACTAATATTGTTTAAAAGCAAAAGTAAATCTTAAAAAATCCTTTTAGATATAGAAGAGACTTTTAGACATATGAAACTAGTCAAATTATTAAGGCAATTTAAGGATGCTTTCAGGGAATTGCTTGTGTCATAATGTTACTCTATTAAGATAACATTAATTAACAGGAAACAGTTTTGGCATAGACAAAGGGTGATTTCCTTGAGTGTCATACTTTTCTACATAAAATGACCATCAGTTGACCATTGTTTTAAAAATACTCTTCTTAAAATGTATCTAGAAAGCTCTATATATTATTCAGATAGTTTTATATGTTTAGAAGACCCAAATAAATTCCCTTGAATATATCTGTCAATGATGTAAATACTTTTCAATTACTTCAATAAAAATACCTCACAAATGTGTTTTAAGTTATGCAAGTTTTAGTGGCTCAGACCTTGATGTCCGTGAGCAAACACCAGAAACACTGTGCATTGTGACTATAAATGAAATACAGGTTTTCCACAACAGAATTCACACTCTAGAAGTCTTTCCTTATTACTGTGGTCACAATGTGCTGGACATAACAAAATGTATCCCGTTATCTCTGACTTTGCATTAGTTATTTCATTAAGGATAAATAGAGAAGGCATTTCTGCAAAGTCTTAGAAGAAGCTCTTATAAGTGTTACCAATTAGCAGTAAAAAATTACATTAATATTTCTGTAATACTGTGGAAAACTTAGACATTTTACTATGTGCATGTATGGAATTTGATGGTACAAAACCAAGTAAAAAGCTATTTTTCTAT